TGACTCATAGCGACCCTGTGTACAACCGAACGAAACACTGCCCTGTCCTGTGCCATACTCACAGTTGTTGTTATGCTTGAGCCCATTGTTGCAGCCACTGTGTCAGTCCATCTCATTGAAGGTCTTCATCTTTTTTTGACCCTCCACTTTACCAAGCATGGTGTCCTTCTCCCAGGACTGGTCTCTTCTGATAACATGTCCAAAGTATATGAGACTGTCTTGCATGATGAAATCTCTTGCTGTCCTGCTCCCACCTGCCAGGGACCAGTGACTCATTCCTTTGTCCCACATATCCACGCCGTGTATCCTACCCATCCGCTAGTCATTTAGCAGCCATCTCCGTTATCAGATTGACTGTCGCCGTATCGCAGTGCTTATGTTCAGGTAACCCTTACTTAATAATGGCCCTAAAACGAAAAGAGTAGTGATGCTGGCAATTTGGATATGCCAAAGTTCTTGACTTTTATTACAGTATATTGTTATAATTGTTCTATTTTATTATTAGTTATCATAGCTAGTCTCTTACTGTGCCTAATTTACTAATTAAACTTTATCGTGTATATGTATGTATAGGAAAAAGCATAGTATAGATAGGACTCGGTATTATCCAAGGTTTCAGACATCCACTGGGAGTCTTGGACAGTATCCCCTGAGGATAAGGGGGGGACTACTGTAATCTCTAAATCTCATTTAAGAGTTTCATCCTCTTCTTCCCTCCTACTTTTTAGGTGTGCTGCTGCCATCAAAGAATAGTTAATTTATTTGAATATCTTTGCCTTTCTTCTGCTCCCCCTTTAATGGAATGTTTGAGTGACAACATGACAGAGTCAGGAGCAGAAGGCTTTCATTACTTAGCAGTTGGTTAATTAGTTTTGGAAGAATTTGCCTAATATTTCATACATTTGCCGAGAGGGCCAGTAAATCCAGTTTACTCCTTGACCAGGTATCTTCCCATGTTGTAATCCGCTCTAAAACCCGTTAACCAAACCCTTTGCCATCTAGTTGAATCCAGTTCAGTCACTTATAGCGACCCTATAGGACACAGTAGAAGTGCCCCATAGGATGTCCAAGGAGCAGCTGGTGGATTTGAACTGCCGACCTTTTGGTTAGCAGCCAAGCTCTTAACCACTGCGCCACCAGTGCTTATCTCCTGTAGTGTGTCATCAAACAGTATGCAGGTAATCATTCCAGAATCAAAATGTGATCCTCATCTTTGCTTGTGTTCTCATATTTTTATGATAAATTCTTTATATGTATATAATATTTAAGATGTATACAGATCTTTATTTTTATATCCTGAATCTTAGATAGTTATAATGTTTGTTTCTTGATTATATATTTTGTCATCGTTGTACATTGCACTTTACCTGTTAGAACAGAATAGGTTTTATTTAGTGTATATTTTTTAAATAGGCTTTTCAAAAGTCAGTTCTGTTAGTTGGGTAATATAGTGAAAAGGTCAGTGGACTGAGAGGAATTCTGAGGTCTGGTCCTGCCTGCCTCTGCCATAAACTAAATATTCATTTTATATAATCATATGTTGGAGAAAATTAATTTCTGGAAATGAAACGTGTGAATTGAAGTTAATTTCTTTAAACAAAGGGAAGCCATTATATGTTTGTGAATGAATTAAACGCATATAAAATACATTAGGTACAACACTTTATTTCGCTCCTGAATCCCACTGTGAATATCCTTTTCCTTTCACCATTCCTTAAACTTGGTCCTGTATATCTCCCAGAGTTTCCTTTGGACATGCAATACACCATACTGAGCACTGTCCCTTCTATTTAGGGACCAAACATCTAATCACTGGTCAAAGTACCTTTCTTGTGAAAAGATAAATTTTATCATCTCTGTAAGCACTTGAGTTTTCATTGTGCTTAGAATATCATTCCCCAGATAAGTTTAAATACAATCAGAAATATGACAATATAATCTCAGGATTTGGTAATTTTTAAACTATTTAAACAGCATTTGTGAAATTAAAGTGTTGCTATTGCAAATGTTATTAAATAGGCGCCCATGAAAAGCATGACGTTGGCTATCACTTTGGTAACAAGAGGATGCTTCTTTGTGGAGTCTCATTTACATAGTAATTGCCACTGCTTTGTTTCTACAGCAGCATTAAGCCACTCTTTTGATGGTAGTTAGCTTGAATTATTCTACACCAGCGCCCAGTTTAAATCAGCTATGTTAGGTAAGAGAAGAAAGGATTTTCATAAGCAAATGCTTTTAGGAAAGGTCATTTATTACACTGAAATTTATTTTAGATGCTTGCCTAATGCTATGAAGGTAAAAATGACATTTTAAAATTATTTAATCAGAAAAGATATATGGATTTTGAAATACTCTTTGGGTTTGTGGTTTTAAAATATAGTAATTTTTTTGAGATGCCAGTATATTCTGTATTTGTAATACTATAGTTAAATGGTACGTAAATGATTCAGAAACTGGAAACATTTTCAGAGTAGAAAATCACGTGCATGTCTAAATGGATTTGTTATTTTATAGTTTGTTTTGTATGAGTTAGATTGTGCGTGTGTATGTTTATTGTACATTAGATGAAGGTTTACAGAGCAAATTGGTTTCTCATTAAACAGTTAATACACATAGTATTTTGTGACCTCGGTTGCCAACCCCGCGACGTGTCGACGCTCTTGCCTTCTCGACCTTGGGTTCCTAATTTCCATTCGTCCAGCTTTCCTGTCCCCTCCTGCCTTCTCAGCCTTGCCCCTGGGCTGCTGTGCCCATTTAGCCTCGTATACATGGTTGAGCTACGTGTATTATTCTTTGTTTTATAGGCAGATTGTGTGTTTTTTATGTCTTTAGGTATACTTGCCTAAATTAATAATTTAAAAAATTGTCAAAGAGCAAAATATCAAGGGCTCAGTAATATCCTGCTACCTGTTAGGGTCAGCTCTTCAAGACTAAAAAATTTCATGGATTTTATTGACATGCATGTCTCTGCACTTTTGAGTGATTAAATTCTGACATAACAAAATACCGCTTTTCAGTGGTGCTTTTGTTGTACCATTTATAATTTTTCTCTTACTGCTTTCACTGTTGGATTATCTGCTACCTTTGAAGCCCAAATTTGATAAGGTAGCTGGTATCCTTTTGTAAGTCTCCAAAAATTCTGCCATAAGAGAGGTGAGTGGTTTAGAATGAAAGGAATGGTAGGTACTTCGAGAAATTACCCAAGTCTAGCCTTCAGCCTATCGGTGATATCAGTCAAATAAAAAACTAGTATCTTTTTTATGACCACCTGGTCATTTAGCTATCTTTAATCTAGCTGGTCACAGTGAAGAGCAATACTTTGAATAAAAGGTGTTTGAGTTTTTGGTCTTTTTTTTTTTTTTTTTTTAAATTATGTGTTTTAAAATCTCTTATCCTTTGGAAACTATCTTTTTTTGAAACCCTTGTTATGTTGGGAATTAACATGAATAGATTTTTCTTTTACTTAACAAATTAAGACTGAATATTCTTTGAAAAACATGTATATTTTGCCTCTAGTGGAAAGTATGGTGAGAAAAATATATTGATAATATATATTCACAATAGTGAATATAAGGAATTTGGATAATAAAAGCTGAGCATTAAATAGGCATTATAATATGGTATTTATTACTTCTGGAATATTTGAACATTAAAGTATTTTAAATAAATTATAGAAATAGTTTGGGGCGTTGAGTGAGAAATTTGTTTTCTACAGGTCATCAGTACACACTTTTGTATATGCAGAGCTGATTTTTATCAATGAAAGCAGAATATGTTGTTGATGTCTTTAAGGATATCCCTCAAGAACATAAAATCCTTATATTACTAAAGCACTAATGAATAATAAAGCTCATTGAAAATTAAACTTCTTTATAAATCACTGTGAATATTTTATGGTTTTATTTCTCAAGTGTTTTCCTTTAATAGAGTGTAGGTGTTCTTAAATTATTACCTGAAAGCTGTATTAATAAAAATTTTATTTCTTAACTTTTCCTTTTGGATAGCCAGAAGCAGGTTTAGAAGATTACTGAATTATTACTAATAATCACTCATACTTCAGTTAATTGCTTGCTTAAATTACAGCCACCTTATTGTATTGATAATTAGTAATTCTTGATGTACTTAACTGTCCTTGTTAAGTACGGGCTTAGTGTAAGTATACTAAAAGTAGTATATTTGCCACTAAGAGAAAATGTGCTTGAGTTTCATAAGTATGTATATTCCTAGCTTTTCTCAGAATCTTAACATGTAGGTACTGACAGAGTTCTTCATAGTGCCAGTGTTGTTAATTCTGTAGAACTACAAAGAAAATAAACTTATATTGCATGTTATCATTTACGAAGTGCTTTGATTGTTAATGACTCCATTAAGTAGGCAGGGAAAACTTTTTATAAGTCTCATTTGACAGATGGGAAAAGTTAGGTTCAGAGGTCAAATAACTTGCTGCAAGGTCACACAGAAGTCGAGTCAAAATTTGATCCTAGATTTTGTGTCTTCAAGTTCCTGTCTACTATATTGCATCCTTTTCTGTATTATCTTCCTTATCATCCCAGTGCCCTGTAACGGTAATGTACAGATCAGAAACCTAAGACCAAGTTCCATACTTTAAAAAAATCTCAGCTATAAGCCTACTGCTGTGCTGAATCTTATGATAGTTAAAAAGACAGTTATGCTCATTTCTTTTCAATAATAACACAGTTTGAAAAACTGCACATTGCTGTCTGTGACAGGGCATTTATACAAGGTGCACCCATCTTTTAACACTGCTGCTACTCTTTAAGTTTTTTTTTAATGTAGGAAAACTTGGTTGCATGTTAAAGTACGGATAGTAATACACAAAGAATAAGAAGACTTTTAAAAAGAATATTTTTATGACACTTTAAAATTTTATTGTTGTAGAAAGAGTTGAATCAATGTTATTTTTATCCTTAAAGAAAATGGGCTTATTAGTTTGTCCAAATTAGTTCTGCTGGTTCAGATTTGTCATTTTGGCTTTGCAGCAGTTAGAAGAAAAGAGTGAAGATCAAGAAGACAAGGAATGTGTGAAACAAGCAATAACAGCTTTGCTTAATGTTCAGAGTGGTATGGAAAAAATATGTTCTAAAAGTCTTGCAAAACGAAGACTGAGGTGATTATTTTCACTTTATTTTTAATCCTTCTGCTTTTTACTCTGAGTTGTTGTGGTATAAATTCAGGGTTCCCAGTTCTGTCTTCAAGTAAACAATGAAGAAAATAGTTTTAGTGACAAGCTTAGTCTTTCAGAGGAAGTGACATCAAAGGCAAGCGAATTTGTTATTGTTTGAAAAACCTTTCATATTTGTGCATTTTCCCTGCATACTCCCAGACAAGACCTTCTGAGAGTCAACTGGTAAGCTAAAGGAGAGAGAGAACAGAATGTATTGAGTAGGTTTATATCAGTGTCATTGTTCTGTCAAGTAATTAGTAGTATCCTTTATATAGAAATTGTGTAACTTCGAGGCATTAATTCAGATAATACTGTTTCCAGTTTCCTGATTATAATATGTGCTGTGTGTTTTTCAGCATTGGGTCTTAGTCCATTTAAGCACTTGTAGATAATTTTTTTAAGTCTCTGAAAGTACTTTTTCACTATACGTGGGGTACTTTTTACTGTTTGCCATTCGAAATATTTAGTAGCTAAGGTAGAAATAATCATTCTGTATCTGAATTTATAGGTAGAATTTTATGAGTAGTCATTCTTCTTTTTTAGAGCACTAAAAAAATTTCTCCACTGTGTTGCTTTAATTTTCAAAATTGTGTAGTTCTGTAACACTAATATATCTGGGGAATGAGTGAACACCTTATTAGTACAGCTTTTTGAAGTGTCCCTTTTTTTTTACACTTCCCTTATTTACATGAACTCTAAATTCTGTATGTTTTGTGTTTTAATGATGTTTTCCTTTATCCTAGTGAATCTGCATGTCGGTTTTATAGTCAACAAATGAAGGGGAAACAACTAGCAATCAAGAAAATGAACGAGATTCAGAAGAATATCGATGGTTGGGAGGGAAAAGACATTGGACAGTGTTGCAATGAGTTTATAATGGAAGGAACTCTTACACGTGTAGGAGCTAAACATGAGAGACACATATTTCTCTTTGATGGCTTAATGATTTGCTGTAAATCAAATCATGGGCAGCCAAGACTTCCTGGTGCTAGCAATGCAGAATATCGTCTTAAAGAAAAATTTTTTATGAGAAAGGTACAGATTAATGACAAAGATGACACCAATGAGTACAAGCATGCTTTTGAAATAATTTTAAAAGATGAAAATAGTGTTATATTTTCTGCCAAGTCAGCTGAAGAGAAAAACAATTGGATGGCAGCATTGATATCTTTACAGTACCGGAGTACACTGGAAAGGATGCTTGATGTAACAATGCTACAGGAAGAGAAGGAGGAGCAGATGAGGCTTCCTAGTGCTGATGTTTATAGATTTGCAGAGCCTGACTCTGAAGAGAATATAATATTTGAAGAAAACATGCAACCCAAGGCTGGAATTCCAATTATCAAAGCAGGAACTGTTATTAAACTCATAGAGAGGCTTACATACCATATGTATGCAGGTAAGAAATCTGAAGTTGCCTGTCACTTTTGTTTTCCCTTTTCAAACTGATTTTCTTTGCTGTATAGGTCATTGTGCTTAAAATAGAAAACAAAATAACAACAAAAGACCTCTGCATTATCAACTCTTAGAGTTCATTTTCCTTAGACTAAAAATACCACTTTATATTTCATTGAAACTTTATACTTTTCTACCACATTTACATACATTATTTTTAAGCTCACAACCAGAATTATAGATGAGAAAATGAGGTCACTTGGCTAAATTTACCCAGCTCGAAAGTAGCAGAAACAAGACTGGAAGTAGTGCGACGTCATCATCATTAGGACTTAAAAAGCATTTTACTCCTTTAATTTTTTTTCTTTCTGTTCATTTGCATTGTAAAATAAGTAAAAATTTTAATATGCATTCATTATGAAAATTATGCTGGTAGGACAAATAAACACAGCATTGCTTATTCTTAATTTCCATTCCTAAAGCCTATTAAATTTAGCAGTCTAGAAGCCGTTTAAATTTTAATGTTTTTTGCCTCTTACAACTGATGTTATTTAAGAAAATAATTTCATCTTAGTGGGGAAATTTTTAGAGAAAAACATATCCAAACCAGCTAGGAAGATAGCTACCAAAAACCAAACCCAATGTCGTCGAGTCGATTCCGACTCATAGCGACCCTATAGAACAGAGTAGAACTGCCCCATGGACTTCCAAGGCTGAAATCTTTACAGAAGCAGATTGCCACAGGTGGGTTCAAACTGCCCACCTTTTGGTTAGCAGCTAAACACTTAACCATTGCATCACCAGGGCTCCTTGGAAGATTGCTATAGGCAGAATAAAATATAATGATTGAGAAAGAACAAATATAGTGATTAATTTTAGTAAGTGATTTTATTTTTTCGAAAAAAGTAAGATGATAACCTGATGTTTTTCAAGTTTCAACTTGCCTACATAGTGGAAAATTTGACAGTTGTAAAATATGTAGAATTGTGGTATAGTGGAAAGAGCATCGAATTTGGCTTTGCACCCTCACTTTATCATAGTTCCTCAATGTCTCAGAACCTTAGTTTTTCATCTAAAAATCAGCATAATAATAGCTACATCAGAATGTTGTTGGAAAGAATAAGTTAAATATGTGAAAGCCCTTTGCAAATATAAATTTAAACTTATTTTTTAAATATCTATATTATAAAAGCATATACCAAAAAAAAAAACAAAAAACAAAACTCTTGCTGTCAAGTCAATTCCAACTCTTAGTGACCTTATAGGACAGAGTAGAACTGCCCCATAGGGTTTCCAAGGAGCAGCTGGTAAATTCGAACTGCTGACCTTTTGGTTAGCAGCCAAACACTTAACCACTGCACCACCAGGGCCCCACAAAGGCATATAAGTGATATAAAATAAAATGTAACTCTAATAAATGCTATTCTTAAATAGTTGAATGTGAACGTTAACCTTCATCCCATATTTCTTACTTAAATATATTCCTATTTCTAGAAGGTGATTGTATGTGGGGAATTTTTTTTTTCAATTTATTAAGTTCTGTAAGTGGATTCTCAGTTTTCTCTGGAAAATATTCTGGCACCAGTTGAATTAAGCTTTTAAAGATATCCATTAATAGCACACTTTGGTAAAGATGAATAATAGCATTGATAATCTTTATATGATTGATTTATTGAATGTACAGTCAAAACTATCTAATATGGCCTGGAAACTATCAGGGCACCTTACAAGAAGTAAAATTAAAATAATATTTTTCTTTTTATTAATGATCTCAAAGCACTTGGGAAATATAATTTATTTCATTTTCTCCACATGTCTTTGGGATAATTAAGCCAGTTATTTTTATTATTATTTATTTTACTTTTTATTTGGCCTCTAATTGGTAGCTTTTTTCCTGGACTTTTGCATAGTAAAATAATAGTGTTTTCCACAGGCTAATTTTAAAAGCAGTTTGGGCTCTGTAAGCACATACCGTTTGGTGGTAAAAGGCAGTAGTCTGGACGTGTTGGTTATGGTGAGAGAAAACTAGTCTGGGATTCCAATTTTACTACTGATTTTTTACCTAGAAACTTTTGTAGTGTATTCGTTTTACTAACCCAGAAATAAAAAAAATAAAGCACAGGAAATGTAAGTAAGTTGGCCTTGGATTTTATGTCAAAACAGATTATTTGGTGATCTTTTACAAATATAAAGCTGTTTTTGAGGGGAACAATTTTCAGTAATTACTGTGGCCCACCTATTTAATTGATCTTCATCAACCCTCTGTATACTCTTTAAGATCCAGAGTACGGCTGCAATAATGTTTTATTAGATTAACCTAAATTTGTGGTTGCAAAATACTTACCTTTGCTTCTCCTTAAGATACTTTTAAAGTAATAAAAGTTCAGATTGCTCTTCTCACCACATTATCCTGATTTTTAAGTGTCTTAGAGAAGTCACAGAATTTCTTACAGCATTAAGTATTCTGAAATGTTCATTATATTACAGATACCTTTCTTTTTGATTCTGAGACTGTCTACAGTAAAATTAGTCTTTAGATTTTATCTATGTTTGTAAGACAAAAGTTTTGTGGTTTTTTTTTTTTTTCTTGTAGAGCAGTATAAGTGATAAACACTGAAGAAGATTCCCGAATGTTTATCATAAATCAGTGGTGTCTGTGTTAGGAAACATTTTCAAATTCCAAAAAATTTAATTTAATTGTTTCTGTAAAATTCATCTTGATTGTTAATGATAAAAGTTTTCTTTAAACTGCTATAGTTCACAGAACTGGAACATTTATGATTATTAATAAACAGTTGTAGAACTGCAGTTGAATGTTTCTTTTATGGGGAAATATGCCTTCTTTTTTATTTATTTTTGGAATGAGGACTCTTTTTAAAGTAAACTTAACATTAACAAACATAGCTGATAGTTTTTCTGTAGGTCACTGTGGCAGTCTTCCTTCAGCAGTGTGCACCAGGTACCTTTGTCATGGTGTTTTTAGTTACTTTTGATAATTGTTGTCTTTTTTATATCAATTTTTAGCTTTTGAATAGAATAGTAGTTTGAATAGTTTTACTTCTTATTAACATAAAACACTTTCTAGATTTCTAGAAACTTGCCAACATTAAGTGTACTCAAATTTAAATTGACAAGATTGATTTACTTTTTTAAAAAGTTAAAAGTTTTTTAAATTCCTTTCATTTATTTCTTGAGAAATAAAACACCAGTGTTGGTTTTAAGAGTGTTGTGGTTATGTTTTTTGACATTTTTTTTTTCATTTCTTTTGAAGCTTAGTTGAATAATTTATGTCATAAATACATTACAGGTGCAACTGGAATCCAGCTTTCATGAGTTGTGATTCACAGTACACACAAATTAGTGTTAATTATTAGCGTATTTGGGCTACTCTGTAAGGTCTGTTACTGAATTCACTACTGGCAATATAGAGTATGTTTATAAACCATCTATGAATTTGTAAAACACAAAAGCACTTATTATTAAGATCCCTTCCAGCTCGAATGGACTTTGAGGTCTTATTACAATGATAACAGATGAAGTTACTATTTGGTTTGAGAACCATTGGTCTGATCTTGTCCTGCCTTTCTTCAACCCCCCCAAAGAGAAGGGGCATTTTTGTTTCATTTAGTTGGTTGGTAGGTATTTTTATTGGTGAACATACAGTATAGGTTACAGCTTACACTGAAACAAAAGCTAAAATTTAACTTATACATTTTTATTGTTTATATAGATTTATAATAATGAAAGACATTGAATGTAATACATGAGAAAATTGAATAACTGATGATATAAGACAGTAGTTACATTTTTTAGATTACTGTAGGTTAATCAGGCATTGTCATGAAAAGCAGAAGAGAAACTTGTTTAACCTAACTTAATTCAGACTTCACTGTGGCTTCTTCAGCCAACTTGATTCCTCAAGTGTTTTAGTAATAATTTACAAAATGGAGCTATAGATTTCTAGTGTTAGAAGAGATGACCAAGCCCTCATTCTATGGACAAAAACCTAAGGCCCTAAAAGATTATTTGCCAGAAGTCAGTTATAACTTGTTAATTATAGAACTAGGACTAGAAAGTAGGCTTCTTGACTCCTAATAGAGTACTGTATACTTCCCACCATGACTGACTGACTCCTACAAGGTGTTTTTTTTATTTTAGTATTAGAATATAACAGTGTAATTTTCTATTATATATGTTGAATAATGAAAATAAAGAAAATCACTTAGTTTGAATTGCTAATAATATAAATAGATTGCTGATTTCTGGGCAACACAGGTCTACTATCAGGATAATTTTTTTTTTATTATTGAAATAGGTAATAAGTTCTGACTATAGATAAACGTCCATTCTAAAGCAAAAATTTTAGTGTAGTCAGATATTGGTTATCATAATTTTATTCAGTGATAAAACTTAGCCATTAGTCTGTTGTTGTAGGCTGCTCTATAAAGGAAAGCTTTCTGGTGAAAATTTTTTAATTTAGGTGAACTAGAAAGTGGTTACTTGCTTAAGAGATTAATTTATAGCTTGTCTCAGGTCCAGTGTTTATGGACATCAGTATTTGTTAACTATATCAGATCTTTGGATTCATCCCACATACTGAGGGAAGAAATTATCTCATTGAATTGATTATTCTGAATTTGGCAAGGAAATGAAGAGACCATTTCCTTATCTAGAATAAGAAAGCACAAAGCAATGTGCCCAAAGAAAAGTTGAGAGTAGAAATTTCACTTCTGATACAGAGTTGTAGGAAATGAAGTACAAATTAATTATTGGAACCAAAACAACACAGATTGAGAAATGTTTGGTAGTGCTTATATCTGGTTTAGTAGTCTAGTTTAGCAGTATGAGATAACCTTGAGGTAGCTATAATAATTCAGAACTGACATTGTATGGAAAAAAGCTTTTCATATTGAAGTGTGGGAAAAAGGTGTTTCCCATGCATGGTGAACTTTCTTTCATAGAAGATGGCATTGAAAAAACTTAAGCCAGTTGACACTTTTCCAAAAAATATTTTCTGCCATTTTATGCCCTCAGATAGAAAATTGTCAAAAACTTACACTAGCTTTCTTTTGAGTTTGTGTCTTATATAAGTGCCGTTTGGGTTTTTTTAACTTTTATAATCTTTCGAACAATTTTTGATGTATAGGGCAGTGCTGTTCTATTTTTAAACTCTCTGATATGTTTTGTAAAAAAGTGTTTGTGCGTCAGCATAACGTCTGTTTCCTTTTTTAAGGAATTCAAGAGTGATTGTTTATAAATCCTTGTTGAGGAGCTTATTGTTTCTTGGAGCTTTTTAAATGGCTGTATTAAAGGGAGAATTGTCACATGAACAGACATCCTGATTTACAGTGCTTCTCTATGGTGGTGGGGGAGGGGACTGTTCTTTACATAAATAACTATGTAGTATCTCGTAAATCTTATTGACTTTACCAAATAAAATGTCAGGTGTCATTCAAATAGGAGTATCAGAACAAAAGATTGAATTTATCACCTCAAATCTAGTATGCTATATTTTGAACATTAACGTAGGTATATTCTGAGTTCCTAAGATTTTAAAGAACTATGCAGTAAAATATTATCAGACAAAGAACAGTTTTAGAGGGAAAAAGAGACAGCTAGAAGGTTAGCAGAAAATAATAACTATAGCTCATGTTTTAAATAACCTGGGCCTAGACCAGGGAGTTGATGGTAGAGCTGTTTGTATACAAAGAGGGAAGCAGAGCAGCTAGTTAGTGAACGTGGTGAAATCTTAGTGTGGGGATTTGACGGTCAAGTAGAAGAGTAGTGTTACCTACAATGATGAGAAAAGAACTGCAGAGAAAGTTTTTGTCATTGTTCATACTGAATTTGGGGGTCATGTGAAGGATTGAGAAAGAGGTTTATGGAATTACCTCCACAAGCAAGTGATAAACAAAAAGAGATGAAGAACATCAATATCAGCTATTTTCAATTTTTTCGTGAATATTGGTTCACGCCAAGGTTTTCAACCAAACCCAGCCTGGCTTTAGTATTTTTATGTATTTGCCTTCTACATGTTTCTTAAACGTCATTTTCTAATATTGGAAGATAACTGCTACTCCACAGCCAAGAGAGGCAGTTCAAAACTTAGCTTTTACCACTGCCTAATAAATCTAAGTAAGTACTTGATTTTCTTACAGAATTATATAACCTGTCCTTATTGATGGGTAGTTTTTAATGTCAAATTATCTTAGCCCTTTACATCATCAATAAGATAAAGTCCATGTGATAAAGTCTATCTTACAATCATTGAAATGGGGACATCATTGCAATAGAAATAAAAATAGCTACTAATATATATTTGAGTATATAAAACTTCAAATACAAACGTCCTCTTTTGATACATTTTTCATTCATTAGGAAATTTACACTGTTTTAGACCAAAAATAGACTCTATATAAATTAATACAAGCCTGGGAATGTATACAGCCTTTAAGATATTTTTGAAAGTACTTAAAATATTGCCAAATTTTCTCAATTTATTTTTAGCTTTTAGCATTTTCTTTTTGGCAAAATTGTTCTTACTCACTTCCAGTCAAGCTAAAAACAACTTAAGCTTGAGTCACTTTAGAACCTAGTACACTAGTGTTGATTGTGGGAGTGTTTATTTCACTGCCAACTCTAGAAACTCCTCCTCCAAGTACAGTGTACAGGAAGGCACAGCTGCTACTTTCGAAAATCTGGAAGAAGGCTTATCAAGAGTTACAGAATCACAGTTAGACTGTTAATTTTTCAGTGATTGTCAGGTGCCTTTAACCAGATTAACAGTTTACAGATACATTCTGAATTAATCATTTATGTAGATTCCTACAGTGATTATATAGTTTATGGATTAATTCTTTATATTTAGATCTCACAGCTGTGGAAATCTTAAGGGGAATTTTAATCCAGGGAGGTTACATAATGTAGAAAGAGCACCAAATCAGGAGTCACACAGTCTAGGTTCTGGGTTTATCCCTGCCACTATGTATCTACCTCCTCACTTATCAGCTATCTTGTTATCTGACATTTTGCACTTACGACAATAGTGAAAAAATCTACTATCCGATTATTTTGCGCAGTAACGAACCCCGAGGTGCAAGGCGAGAGTAATGCTGGCTGTGATGGTTAAAGTTATGCGTCAGCTTGGCTGAGCCATGATTCTCAGTAGTCTGGCAGTTATGTAATGATGTAGTAGTCATCCTCCACTTTGTGATCTGATATGGTCATCTTCCATTTTTGCATAATGCCAATTTTCGCAGAACAGCCTGGTCTTTGGAATCTAACCATGTCGATAAGTGAGGAGTGGGTGCACTGGGTGACCATGGATAAGTCTTAGCCTTACTTCTTCCATGTGTGCAAAGGGAATAATATCACCTGCCCCACTCACAGAAATCATATGGAATAAATTATGTGAAAGCTCCTTGAGATTGTTACATAGCAGACATCAGGAATTGCTGTGTCCCCATTTTAACTGATGGGACACTGAGGCACATCGTGGCTTTCCCATCAGTGTCATCAGTTACTAACATGCTGAAATGGCCAGAAGCTTTGGTTAAAGAAAATGAAAAGTCAGTTTTAAAACTGTTTGCCTTAAAAATTAGCAACAATTTTCTTAAAACATACTTTAATTCATTTAGAACTTGCTTTTATTCTGTTTTTCAACTTAAAGGTACCTTTGCTAGCCCACAATTTTATAGCCTGACTTAGATGACATTTGAAAAGACATGGATCTGGATGTTGATTTTAGACCTAAGAGCTGAAGTAAACTTTTCTTAAAAGATGGGGGGAAGGACACTCTAAATTTGGAACACAGCTCAGGGATACTTGGAGCACTCTGTAATGAGGGTGTGGGTTCTGTCTCTTTGCTTCTTAAACACATGTTTTGAGCAGCCTCACCTTACAAATAGATTTGCAGAACAGGAAGAAGATTCTTGAAAGGGAGGATAGTGATGAAACCGGTATAAGTCTCTTTTTTAAAATCTTGTACAGGCTTCTGTTTTAAAATCTTTTCTTCTGGTTGAAACATTAGTCTTTAACATTTGAGGAACTCTGTAACTGAAGACAATAAAATACCAACAGAGAGGATTATTAAAGGATTATATATCTTTAAAGTTTATCACTAACCCACTTTAGCCTCAGAAGGCATAAAGCTCAAGGAGAAGGGGGCCATTTAAAACCAATATATTTTTATTATCTGAATTTTTCTTTAATGTGAAGTATTTTAATTGAAATTCAGGGTTGTTTTATATTTAAATTGATTTATTGTCTTGATGACCACATATACCAATAGATTGGTAATAGATTTCTGTTCCATGAATTTTCTTTTCGGGGGAAAACAATATAAATATTTTAATTAAGGCTAAATTTAGGGTGGTTCTTAATCAGATAGATTCAGCCTAATAGAAATGTTCCACACATATGAATTCTGATTCTTGCTAAATCCTATGCTAATAAAAAATACTGTACTTTTTATAAAGGCGCAAAGTGTACAGCCTAACAAAAATAAAGGGAGTTGCTACCCTCAATGAATTTATCATTAGATTGTACTCCTGATAAAAGACTCAGGTTAATGAACTCTCCCCTCCTACTTTTTTTAATGGCTCATACCACTAAATGTGAACCTTGATGAAATTTAAGTTATAGAAATAAGTGGTTCGGTTTTTTTTTCCATTGTGGAAAGATGTCTTTCCTCCTGTATGCAGAGGATGACAGCCCAAGTCTCTTGTGTAGATGACAGCAGTCTTTCCCCACAGCGTGGAAGAGCACTGCTGTCAAGGAGAGACGGGAGTAGGCCAGGCCTGGGCAAGTGATCACACTCAGTGAGCCTCCTGTTTACTTCACGGAGATGTGAATAAAAAGTAGGTCATTTCATGGATGAGGTTGCAGACTCCTGATTCTATGCTTGAGCTCTCTTTGTGACTATTTGAAATAAAAGGAATTAAAAGTTATGAATAAGACCAAACCAACATATTCTAGCAATTTAATAGTTAATAGCTTATAGGTATTTGTAAGCACCTTTTAGCAATTCTAATTAAGACCATTAACAAAATAATTTAGAAATTGTATTTAACTTCATCTACTACTTTATAAGATCCAATTTCTAGTCGTATGCTCTGTTAAGATGATTTAAAGAAATTCAGATAACTGATCCTAGATAAACTAGTGTGGGTGTCAGGAAAAGTAGTGGGTTATTACTGTGGCCTTTCACTTCACCAGATATAAACCAACTGGTGATGCTCTTAGATCTCGGCAGCAAGTAGGAGCCTGGTTCCATGCTTTGCCTTTGCCTTTCTTCAGTTCCCATTTCTGTGGCCAATGATGAGTTTAAGATCAAGGCATCTGATCAGAGTGTGCAAAGGACAAGATATAAATTGATGTAAAATTTTAATGTGTTTTTTTTTGTTGTTGTTGCCACTAGTTTAGGAAGCTCTGAAGGTAGAAGTGCATTACAAAGTCCAAAGCATTTTATGTGTCAAAACATTTTGGAACTTTTTTAGTTTATTATTTTTGAAATGTAAATAACAGTTTTAATCATTCAGAATCAAAAACTTAATATTTTTCCTTTTTCTTCTTAGATCCCAATTTTGTTCGGACATTTCTTACAACATACAGATCCTTTTGCAAACCTCAGGAACTACTGAGTCTTATTATAGAAAGGTCTGTCAATTTAAAATGCTTAAATAAATACTTTGTTTTCTTAAAGAGACTGGGCTAAGATCTTATATGTTCCTTGGAATTAATTGTAGTTCATGAACATTTTTTAATAACTAAAATCTCTCTTAGATGACTGTTACTTTATAATAGTATATTAACTTTAAGATTATTTAAATATAAAAATAGATATTCTTTTTACCTGGAAACTCAGTACGAAAAATTTCAGATTTGTAGAGTTAATCAAGTTAAAGACCTATATAGAACTGTACTAATCTAGACTCTCAAAATTCAAATTTTGATAATTTAGGTGTTCTGAACACAAGTTTTCAAATATACCACATCCTGAGGAAAATGGAGCTTTCAGTGATTAAATACTGTAATCGAGGAAAATGTTTCATCCACCCATATGAGGGGCAGTCAACTTTTCAAATGTTACCCTTAAAAATTATGTTAGCTGATTTAAAGTAATTCCACAAACCAAAAATTAACATCTGTCACTTAATTTTACAGTTACATTTATTTTTAGATTTTTCATATATTCTTTATTGTATCTCTGAGTTTTTAATGGCAAGTACTAATTTCTTTTAAAAAATTGAAATAAGATAATTTGCCTTCACATTATAGAAGCCTCACTTATTTTCACTGATGTGTATATCCTTAGTAATTTTTTACATTATTCTCTTCATAGTTCTGACCAGTGAAAAAGTTTGTGGTTTTTTATTTGTATAATTTGATATAATCAGTATTTTCATTAGTTTGTTCTGTTTTATGTTAGGTTTGAAATTCCAGAGCCTGAGCCAACAGAAGCTGATCGCATAGCTATAGAGAATGGAGATCAACCCCTTAGTGCAGAATTAAAAAGGTTTAGAAAAGAATATATACAGCCTGTACAACTGCGGTAAGCATTAAATAAACAATTAAAATAAACAGTCTTTACTGAACTTTTGTTTCAGAATTAAAGTATATAAGGACCAAGCAACGAGGAAGTAACAAGTAAAATAAGTGAGACAGATAAAAGCGATTATTGGAATTAATGGTACCCATACCCATTGCCATCAAGTCAGTTCTGACTCATAGCAACCCTATAGGACAGAGTAGAACTGCCCCATAGGGTTTCCAAGGCTGTAAATCTTTGTGTGTGTGTGTGTGTGTGTGTGTGTGTGTGTGTGTGTATTTCAGGTGAAAGTTTACAGAGCAAATTAATTTCCCTTTCAACAAATTGTACATAGAAGTGTTCCATGACATTGGTTCCAATCCACACACTGTGTCAACACTCTCCCTGTTTCTGTCCTCGGTTCCCTGTTTCCTTTTGTGTGGTTTTCCTACCCCTTCCTGCCTTCTCATCTTTACTTTTGGGCAAATGTTGCCCTTTTGGTCTCGTATAATTGTTTATTCTATGGAGCACGTTCTTTTCGAGTGTTATTGTTTGTTTTATAGGCCTGTCTATTGCTTGGCTGGAAGTGGTTTCCAGGAATGGCTGCAGTTCCAAGTTAGAGGGGTGTCATAGGGCCATAGTCTCAGGGGTTTCTCCATTCTCTTATCAGGCCAGTAAGTCTGGTCTGTTTTTATGAATTTAATTTTTCGTTCTACATTTTTCTCCTGCTCTGTCCTGGACCCTGTATTGTGATCCTGGTCAGAGCTGTCATTACTGATAGCCGGGCACCATCTAGTTCTTCTGGTCTCAGGGTCGTATAGACTGTGGTACATATGGTCCAAAAAGTCCTTTGGACTAATTGTACCCTTGAGTCTTTGGTTTTCTTCATTCTCCTTTACTTTGGGTGGGAAGAAGCCACTAGTTGTGTCTTAGGTGGCTGCTTGCAAGCTTTTAAAACCCCAGATGCTACTCACCAAAGTAGGATGTAGAACATTGTTTTTATGCACTATGTTATGCCAGTTGACATGGATGTCCCCCGAGTCTATGGTCCTTAGCCTTCAAGTCTAGTATCTTCATCCAAAGAAGTGTTTGATTGTGCATAAGAAGTTTTCATGATTGTACCCCTTGTGTGTTTTATTGTCTATAGTAGTATACAAAGAACATCTACAAATATGTATGTAGAGATGTCTACAAACTAGCCTATATCTGCAGGTGGTTGCACTCCATTACATCCTCCTGCACCTCTTTAGCATACCTATCTATCTGTATATCCCTTTGTAAATTATTGTTTGTTAACACTGTTGTTGCAGGATTGTCTATGTTATAGTAATTGCCGTAGTTGCCCTTTGTTCTTGCATTCCTCTCAGTGTCTTCCTTTGCTTTTGTCATGTTGTGCTGACTTCCCCCATATAGTGTATTGCCCTTCTCTTCACCAATACTACCACATGTCTACTCTCTAGTTAGTGATTTCCCCTTCTTCCCCTCCCATCCCTGGTAACCATCAAAGAATGTTTCTTTCTGTGTTAAACCTCTTCTTGACTTTTTATAATAGTGGTCTCATACAATATTCATCCTTTTGTGATTGACGTATTTCACTCAGCGTAATGTCCTCCAGATTCATTCATGTTGTGAAATGTTTCAGGATTCATTGTTACTTATTGTGGTGTAGTAATTCCATTGCGTGTATGTACCACAGTTTGTGTATCCATTCATCCGTTGATTAGTTTCCATCTTTTTGCTATTGTGAATAATGCTGCAGCGAACATGGGTGTGCACATGTCTATTTGCGTGATAGCTCTTATTTTTCTAGGGTATATACCTAGGAGAAGGATTGCTGGATCATATGGTATTTCTATTTCTAGCTTTTTAAGGAAGCGCCATATTGTTTTCCATAGTGGTTGTACCATTTTACATTCCCACCAACAGTGTGTAAGAGTTCCAGTCTCCCCACAACCTTGCCAGCATTTGTTATTTTCTGTTTTTCTGAGTAGTGCCATTGGTGTCGGGGGTGAGATGGTATTTCATTGTAGTTTTAATTTGCATCTGTCTAATGGCTAATGATTATGAACATTTCTTCATGTGTTTGTTAGCCATTTGAGTGTCTTCTTTGGAAAGTGTCTGTTCATACCCTTTCCCCATTTTTTAATTGGATTATTTGTCTCTTTGTTGTTGAGGTGTTGAAGTTTTCTATAAATTTTAGAAATTAATCCCTTGCCAGATATGTCATAGCCAAAATTTTTTTCCCAGTCCGTAGGTTCTCCTTTACTCTTTTGGCGAAGTCTTTTGATGAGCATAAATGTTTAATTTTCAAGAGGTCTCATTCATCTAGTTTATGTTCTGTTGTTTGTGCATTTTTAGTTACAGTCTGTATACTGTTTATGCCGTGTTTTAGGCCCATGGTTGCCCCTATTTTATCTTCCAGGATCTGTATCGTTGTAGGTTTTATATTTAGGTCTTTGATCCATTTTGAGTTAGTTTTTGTATATGGTGTAAGGTATGGGTCCTGTTTTTCTACAGATAACATATCCAGTTTTCCCAGCACATTTATTAAAGAGACTGTCTCTTCCCCATTTAATGGACTTCGGCCCTTTGTTGAAGATCAGCTGTCCATAGGTGGATGGATTTACTTCTGGGTTCTCAGTTCTGTTCCATTGGTCTGTGTATCTGTCGTTGTACCAGTACCAGGCTTTTGACTATTGCGGTTGTGTAGTAGATCCTGAGATCAGGAAGTGTGAGGCCTCCTACTTTGTTTTTCTTCTTCAATAATACTTTACTTATTCGTGGCCTCTTTTCTTTCCATAAAGTTTGTGATTAGTTTTTCCATCTCATTAAAGAATGCTGTTGGTATTTGGATTGAGATTGCATTATATTCCAAGGTTGTGAATCTTTACGGAAGCAGACTGCCACATCTTTCTCCCATGGAGCGGCTGGTGAGTTCAAACCGCTGACCTTTTGGTTAGTGGCCGAGTATTTTACCACTGTGCCACCAGGGCTCCTGAAATTAATGGTATAAATTTTAATTAACACAGAATTTAGAAAGTGCTAAGCCACTGATAAGGTTATTTCATTTGGAAAGAATTACTCTGTTTTTATTTATACTTTCATTGTGATAAATGTTTATGCTTGAGTTCCCACATAATTCAGCCATTCTTTTTGTGTTAATGCCACAGAGTATTAAATGTATGTCGGCACTGGGTCGAGCACCACTTCTATGATTTTGAAAGAGATGCAGATCTTTTGCAGCGAATGGAAGAATTTATTGGAACAGTAAGAGGTATGAGTTTTTATAAATGTCTAGTTTTCAATGTAGTAAAAGTGCCAGGATGGTGACTATCAATTGATGTCATTACTGCTCAGTATTGTAAAGAGGTGTTTGTAATAGTGCTATAGCATAACCATTTGAAAAAGTTAAAAAATTTCATTAAGCAACATTTTTGACCTACAGATTGCTTAATAATCACCCTGTTAACCCAATTTATTTTCATTTAGTGAATCAACTTACTGATTATTTTAGAGTTAATTCATCTCCATTTAAGCTTATCTCTCCACTTATCTGAAAGGATGTATACCAGAGGGCAATTGGGAGCTGTTGTGTCATTATAACACCACTGATGGGGGTTGCCTGGGCCACAATTAGGTGAATAGTGCATATGTCAGAAAGGCAGCAGAGCATAGTGGAAAGGATACCAAATGGAGAGTCGAGAAACCAGAGTTCTTTTTCTAATACTGCCACTAACCAAATCTGTGACTTTGGGCAAAATCACTTGGATTCTTTAGATTTCAGTTTTCTCCTCCATAACTTTGAGGAACTAGGCTTGGTAATCTCCAAGGCTTCCCTTCTGGTTTTAAGATTCTAGGATTCTGTATGTCTAAGAATATCTTAGACAAGCTTGTTTTCCATTGTACACTCTCAATGAGAGTCAGAAAATAGAAGTGTTAAATAATAGTATTTCCATGAGCAGTACAAAACAATCACATGAAAAACTCACACTAGAATGAAGAAATCAGTCTTCTGGCACTGTTTGGTTTATAAAATGCAATATTAATTAGATTAATAGTGAATATGTATAATTTGTCCTTAATAAATCCTCTGTTTTGTAAGATAAACCTTTTTTTTTTTTTTTTTGAGGATTATAGAATAATATATGTAACTGAAGTTCAGAATAATAACGTTGAAAAATTCCTACAAATAAATTACTTTCTAACCTTATTTAGAAGGATCTGGAAGAATACATAACATACTGTTAACAGTGGTTAACCATGATAAATGAGATTGGGATAGGCAACAGAGAAACTATAAAGGGGACCTTTCACTTTTTATTTTGATCATTTGAACTTTTTATAGCAAAGATATATTCAGGTATCACTAGTATAATTCTAAACCATTTTTAAAAAATAAAATATTGACTAAAAAGTATTTAAATGTTATTTAAAATGTAATGTATTTCAGGTAAAGCAATGAAGAAATGGGTTGAATCCATCACTAAAATAATCCAAAGGAAAAAAATTGCAAGAGACAATGGACCAGGTCATAATATTACATTTCAGAGTTCACCTCCCTCTATTGAGTGGCATATAAGCAAACCTGGGCATACAGAGACTTTTGACCTGCTCACATTACATCCAATAGAAATTGCTCGACAACTCACTTTACTTGAATCAGATCTCTACCGGTATGTAATTTTACATTCAAGCTGAAAGTCATTGCAAAGGAGTAAATTTTTAAAATGAAAGATTGGTTTCTTCCTTACAAGGTTGTTATAAGAAATAAATGAAATAGTACATGAAATGTCTAGGAATAAGGCCTGGTATATAGAAGGCAGTTCCTGTTTTTTCACTCCCTTGATCCCCCTTGCTTTGGCTGGATTTGTACCTTCTCTGTTTTCTGCCATCACCCCTCATTGGTGAAGCTAGGTTCAAATCCTGGCTTTACCAGTTGCTGGCTTGGTATCCTTGGGCAACTTTAACCTCCTTGTATAACCTTTAACCCTCTACTTCTCAAGAGTAGAGTTTCCGTAAGAGTAAAATGGGGGCTAATAACAGTACCTACTTCTGGGGCTGTTGGAAAGTTTTAAATAGTCAATATATGTAAAGTGTTTAGCACATTGCCTAGAACAAACTAAGGGCTTAATAAACGTTAGCTACTGTTGTTGTGGAGTGCTGGAGTAATGCAGACGGTTGTTTGGTTGCTAACCAAAAGGTTTGAAAGTTTGAGTGCATCCAGAGACACCTCAGAAGAAAAGCTTGTTGATGTACTTCTGAAAAATCAGCCATTGAAAACCCTACAGACTCACAGTTCTACTCTGACACACATGGCATTGCCATGAGTTGGAATTGATTCAAAGGCAACTGGTTTTTAACTAGTATCATTTTTGTAGTTGTGAACTTAAGTCATGGCCAGTTATAGCCTTTTTTAGTTTTTTAAGCTGTCTTTGATTGATATAATTATTACATTGATGTAACTGATATTTATAAATGGAGATGATTTAGAATTCTAAACTAAATTGTTTAGTTTTTAATAACTAAATGAGAAAAGAAGCTAAATTTATAGATACCTTTTTAGCAAGGATTATCGCTAGTCCTAAAAATTGTAGTGTTAGAATCTACTTTATTTTCCAAGACCCTTTTATAGTAGGGTTGTTTTCTCCTTCCTTTATATTAAAAAAAAAAGAAGAGATTTATGAATTCTAGTGAATAGACTGATTATTATATCATTATTTAAAATAACTGTCCCAAACTACTTTGTCACCTTTATTTGTTAAGTAATATTTATCAGTGCTAAAAAAACATATTATGAAGAAATCCCAGCCTTGCCCAAAGCAAAATGCCACTATAAAGTGATAGTAAAAGTACACAGGCACATGCATAAAATTTTTTTTAAAAAATCTATAAAGAAAGACGCATAATTGTAGTTTTTTTTATTATATCGTAAATCTTTCTGTTGGTGTAAGTAAGAGGAAAGTTTGTATAGGAATTTAGTTTTTATTTACCATTTACTTAATAAAACAGTATATTAGAGGGAAAAGTATCATGTAGTATTATATCTTGATGATTTTAGAGCTGTACAGCCATCAGAATTAGTTGGAAGTGTATGGACAAAAGAAGACAAAGAAATTAATTCTCCTAATCTTCTAAAAATGATCCGGCACACCACTAACCTCACTCTGTGGTTTGAAAAGTAAGTATCCCTGACATATTTCATAGTAGTCAGCTGTGTTATGAATTTCAGTGAAATTTTATTTCTCTACATCTCATATCTTTTTGTTCCTCTCTTCCCCCTTTACTACTTTCTTTTGCATTGAGTGAATATTTTCTAGTGTGGCATTTTAATTTCATTAATGATTTTTTTCACTATATTTTTTGAGGGTTTTTTTTTTTTTTAAATAATTGCTGTAGAGTATACGCCTTAACAGTATCAACTTTAGATTTATACTAGCTTAATTCCAGTAATATATAGAAACATTACTCCTTTATAACTTGTTCCATTTTCCCCCTTTTTATGATATTATTTTTATGTATAAGATCTAGTAATGTTACAAACTCAACAATACATTATATACATATTTTCAGAGTTGGCTTTTTTAAAATCAGTTAAGAGAAGAAAGAAAAAAAATGCATTTATAGTGTCTTTTATAATTACCCAATTACTTTTACTGGGGTTCTTTGTTTTTCATGTGAATTCAAATTACCATCTGGGGTCATTTGCTTTTCAGCCTGAAGAACTTCCTCGAGTATTTACTGAAGGCAGATCTGTTAACAACAAATTCTCTCAGTTTTTATTTATCTGGGAAAATCTTTATTTTGCCTTCATTTTTGAACAATAATGTTGCTGGATATAGGATTCATCGTTGATGATTTTTTTCTTTGAGCACATTCAGTGTCATTCCACTGCCTTCTGACCTCCATTGTTTCTACTGAGAAATCACCTGTTAATCATATTATAGTTCCCTTTTAAGGGGTGCATCATTTTTCTTTTGCTGCTTTCAACGTTTTCTACTTCTCTCTGGCTTTCAGTATTTTTATTGTGATGTGTATGTTTGTGGGTTTCTTTGTGTTTATTCTACTTGGAGTTCACTGAGGTCTTGAACATGTAGCTTGTTGTTTTTTTTTCAATAAATTTTGGACGTTTTCAGCTGTACTTCCATTGAATATTTTTTCTTTCTTTTTCTTTTCTATCCTTCTGGTACTCCTGTTATGTGTATGTTAGTGCACTTAATAGTACCCAGCATTTCTCTTGAGTCTCTCTTTATTATTTTTTCCTCTTAGTTCTTAGGCTTAGATAAAGTCTGTTGATGTGTCTTAAAGTTCATGAATTCATTCTTCTTCCAGTTCAAATCTTCTGTGAGTCCCTTTAGTGGATTATTTATTTCAGTTACTACTTTAACTCCAGAATTTCCATTTGGTTCTTTTTTATAATTTCTTTCTCTTTATTGATATTCTCTGTTTGATGAGACATTGTCGTCATACCTTCCTTTACTTCTTTAATCATGCTTTCCCTTATTTCTCTGAACATATTTTTAAGGCTACTTTGAAATCTTTCTGTTAAGTCTGATATCTGGTTGCTCTCACAAGCATTTTCTGTTGTGGTTTTTTTTTTTTTTTTTTTTTTTTTGGTGTATGGGTCATACTTTCCTGTTTCTTTGCACGCCTCATAATTTTTTATTGGAAATGGAACATTTTAGATAATATATTGTAGCAATTCTAGGTACTGGTCTCGTCCTCCCAGGGCTTATTTGCTTACTTTTTGTTTGTTTAGTGACTGGCTGGATTATTTTAGTAAAGTCTATTCTTCCTCCCTGCCCTTTCAAGTGTTGAGCCTCTGATGTTGTTCCTTAGGGAGGCACAACTTTGAGTCTGTCCATAGTCACCCTGGATGACATTGATACTGGTAGGACTCTCTTCCACTTTTTCCCTAACCACACCCAGCTGTTTATCTCCATTAACTCTGTTACTTTGTTGTTTTCAACAACTCTCATGGGGACATAAATTGCTCACAAATGTATCTAATCAAATTGTGGCTCCCTTGAAGGACAGTTTCTGACATCTCTGTTTGGTATTTGTTCAGACCCCAGGAGGGCCCCTCCCAGCTGTCTTATTCCCTGGTTCTCTCCTGCAAGCTAGCTGGCCTTTAGTCTAGGCTGTATCTTCATTAAATCCATGAATCTCTCCCAGTTGCCTTTTACCATAACTTCCACTGTTTCTGAGCACTCTTAGGTTTAAACTTCTCTACACTCTATTGCAAAGTCTTATTTCTTTGGGAAGAGATTAGGCACTATCTGTTTTATGGCCTGCTTCTCCACTCTGGCAGTATCTTTGAGCTGGGGCTCTAGAGCTGGGGGTAGGATGAATGGCAGCCTTCTGTCTGAGTAACATCTCTGCTGTAGGAAATGTGCAATTGGTGGGGATGGAGCAGCAGCCTGAGGTTGTCTTGGTTTGCCTCTCATGGAGCCCCATGAGCCAAGGGAAGAACTACTGGGGACCCCTGTATTCTCAGTGTGTCATGTTCAAAGTAGAGCCTCTGTTACACAAGTGGATGTTGGGAAGAAGAAGGAAGACTTCACCTTTTGGTTGCACTCCATCAGGACTTAGCCTCAACAACAAGCAGCTGTGGGAACATGATGAGAAATGCAGAAGTCCTGCTCCTCCCGGGAAGAAGGCCATTCGAGTGGGAGCTGGGAGCCTTTTGTCTTGGTTACAGCAGTCTGAAGTAGAGTCTCTGCCTTGAGGAGCTGATGGAGTAGGTGGGGGGAGAAGGGAGTGGTCTTGGTTCAAATACCACAGACTGCCTTATCTTACAAATTTTTTGTAGATTTTCTTGAATAAATGTTTTCTTCATTTGCTCTTTGCTTTTAAGATCATTTTCAGAGGTTTTATTTTTTTATTTTTTATTTTTTTAATAATTTTCACCAGATTCACTGGAGAGCAGGTCAGCAAAGCTCCTCATGCTGTCATGGCAGAGGTCCAGAATCTCAATGCAGTTTTATAGCTGGGGCCAGAGGGTAGAGTTTTGCATACTGGCCATATTTTTTCTGAGTAAAGTTGCCTAATTTTATAAAGGTCATACGAGGTTTCCACAGATCATACTGGGATTATTAGAACAAGAGACCAGTGATAGAAGAGAATTACTGGAACCTGAACTAGAATATGGATAAAGATCTGAAAGTACTTCCAAAAGAGAAATAAGCATTATGGGTCATCTCCTGAAAGTTAGCACTTCTTCTGTTTATGTTATTATTTCTTAGCTTCCAAAAAAGTAACAATTTAGAATTTGCCCCCCACCCAACCAAAATGTTGCTTTCTGATTTTTTTGTTATCAAGTCAAATAACCACCCTTCTATATGAGGAAGCCCTTGTTGCACCATAATTAAAATTGATACGTGAAAACCCATTGCCGTTGAGTTGATTCCGACTCATAGCGACCCTATAGGAGAGTAGAACTGCCCCATAGGGTTTCCAAGGAGTGGCTGGGAGATTTGAACTGCTGACCTTTTGATTAGCAGCTGAGCTCTTAACCACTGTGCCACTAGGGCTCCATGTGTGAAAAGTAGGTCTAAAAAGAGGAAACATAACTGATAAGACATAGAGACCATTTTCATTCTTGTCCTACTTTTTTAATAGGTTACTGAGAGGAAGGCCATTGTGAAAGGTTTTTGTTCATTTGCCACAGTGGTTCTTAGCCATGGATGTGCATTAGAATTAGGGTCACCTGTGGAGCCCTGGTGGTGTAGTGATTAAGAGTTTGGCTGCTAACCAAAAGGTCAGCAGTTCAAATCCACCAGCTGCTCCTTGGAAACCCAATTGCACAGTTCTCTGTCCTATAGGGTCACTATGAGTCAGAATTGACTTGAGGGCAGTGGGTTTGGTTTGCTTTTTGTTTTTTTTTTTAATGGAGTTTTTGGACTTTCTGGGTAGCACACACTAAATGGTTATAGTGATCAGCACCTAGCCTAAAAGTTGGAGGTTCGAGTCCACCCCGAGGTACCTTGGAGTCTATTTCCAAAAAATCAGCCGCTGAAAACCCTACGGAGGCCCATTCTGCTCTGACACACATGAGGGGCTCCATGAGTTGGAATCGACTCGACAGCAAATGGTAGTGGTAGTGGAGCTTTTTAAAAAATCACATGTAGAGTCCCACCCCAGAGGTTCTGAGAGCATCTGAGGGTGGTGTCTGGATTTACAAAAGCTCCAGAGGTGATCTCAGTTTGCATACCTACTTAATAACAGTTGAAATAGTGTAATAAAATATGTGAATAAATTATATTACATCTGTTTTTAATGTCCAACTAACTAATTAGCCAGAATATGATAAATTTGTAGAGATCTAGCTAATGCTTTAAACATGTAAACATGTTATGTTTACTTGATAATAAGGTAAATTTATTCTGCTAGTTCAGATGAAATGGTTTTTTCTTAATACCAGTTCAGTCTCATTAGAAAATAATATAGCCTGTTACGTTTTTTAAAATGTTAAATATTGATTTATATTTAGTTTTTCCACTTATGTATTAGTTTTTTCCTTCTAGATTGTAAACTAATATTACATTATTGCAAACCAACTTTTAAATTTTTTTTTTCTTTTATTGAGAAATGATTAGGAAATAAAAAATTATCTCATGCTAGAAATAGAGAGTAAATGCTCAATAAAGAATTTTCTTTTTTCTCCTTTTTTTTTTTTAGCATAACACACTTCCTTTTGGTAGTTACTGGGATACACACATCTTTTCAAGCATTCCTTGGTATTTAACTATAAAGTGCTTTTGTTTTCATTTGCCTTTTTAAACATTACACTGCTTCAGAACTGTTCCTTAAAATGTAGGCAATTATTTCTATATATCAGAGAAATTAAAGGTTATCACTAAAATTTTGCAATTAGATGAATAAGGGGTGACAGAATTTTTTATTTGTAGAATAAATTTCCTTTAGAACACATCCACAGCCCAAAGGCATGCATACATTCAACAAGATACTAGTCCCATCGGTTAATTCTAATGCTAAAAGAGGATGCACCAAATATAGTAAGGAAATGTTTTGACAGATTGCACCAGTCTGGAAAATACAGTGAAGAGCAACATATCTGATTGGAGAGCTTCCATATCTTCTGATAGCCTCCTGTCTATCACTCTGAGTATATATTCTATATAATTAAAGTATAGCCAACCACCCCCAGTCTATATTATTTTGTTTACTAAATTCATTAAATCTTAGCTTTCTTGGAAAACCTCCAGAATTTTTAATTCAATTTGTGGTTTTGATTTCCAGATGTATCGTGGAAACTGAAAACTTGGAAGAAAGAGTAGCAGTGGTGAGTCGAATAATTGAGATTCTACAAGTCTTTCAAGAGCTGAATAACTTCAATGGTGTTCTTGAGGTTGTTAGTGCTATGAACTCATCACCTGTTTACAGACTAGACCACACATTTGAGGTAAGTTTGTACATATGTTTTTTAAATGAACTTCCATTCCCTATTCTAACAATCAGGATTTTAACAGTTAGATTCATTAATTTTTCTTGGTTGGTTTTTTTTTTTTTAAATTTAGATGAAAATTTACAGAACAAACTAGCATCTCATTAAACAGTTAGTACATATACTGTTTTATGACATTGGTTAACAACCCCATGACATGTCAGTACTCTCCCTTCTTGACCTTCGGTTCCCTATTACCAGCTTTCCTGTTCCTTCCTGCCTTGTAGTTGTTTTCCCTGGGCTGATGTGCCCCTTTAGTCTCGTTTTGTTTTATGGGCCTGTCTAATCTTTGGCTAAAAGGTGAACCTCTGAAGTGACTTCATTACTGAGCTAAAAGGGTGTCCAGGGGCCATACTTTGGGGTTTTTCCAGTTTCCGTCAGACCAGTAAGTCTAGTCTTTTTTTGAGTTACACTTTTGTTCTGCGTTTTTCTCCAGCTCTGTCTGGAACCCTCTACTTTGATTCCTGTCAGAGCAGTCAGTGGTGGTAACTGGGCACCATCTAGTTGTAGTAGATTATGTCTGGTGGAAGCCATGGTAATTGTGGTCTGTTAGTCCTTCGGACTAATCTTTTTCCCTTGTGTCTTCAGTTTTCTTCATTTTCCCTTGCTCCTGAAGGGGTGAGACCAGTGGAATATCTTAGATGGCCACTCACAGGCTTTGAAGACCCCAGATGCTACTCACCAAAGTAAAATGTAGAACATTTTCTTAATGAACTGTGTTATGCCAGTTGAGCTTGATGTTCCCTGAGACCATGGTCCCCACAGCCCTCAGCCCAATAATTTGATCCCTCAGGGAGTTTGGGTCCATGGAGCTTCCATGACCTTACCCTGAACAAGTTGTGCTGGCTTCCGCATATTGTGTACTGTCTTACCCTTCACCAAAGTTACCACTTATCTATCGTCTAGTGTTTTTCCATCCCCATCCCTCCCCTCCCTCGTAACCATCAAAGATTATTTCTCTTTGTGTGTAAACCTTTTCATGAGTTTTTATAGTAGTGGTCTCATACAATATTTGTCCTTTTGTGTTTGACTTTTTTCACTCAACATAATGCCCTCCAGATTCATCCATGTTGTGAGATGCTTCACAGATTCATCATTGTCTTTATCATTCGTAGTACTCCATTTTGTGTATGTACCATTGTTTGTTTATCCATTCATCTGTTGATGGACATCTAGGTTGTTTCTATCTTTTTGCTATTGTAAACTGTGCTGCAAAGAACACGGTGTGCATATGTCTATTCGTGTGACAGATCTTATTTCTCTAGGCTATATTGCTAGGAGTGGGATTGCTGGATCATTTGGTATTTCTATTTCTAGCTTTCCAAGGAAGCACCATATCGTTTTCCAAAATGGTTGTACCATTTTGCATTCCCACCAGCAATGCATAAGGGTTCCAGTCTTCCTACAACCTCTCCAACATTTATTATTTTCTGTTTTTTTGATTTGTGCCAGTAATGCCAGGTGAGATGGTATCTCATTGTGGTTTTGATTTGCATTTCTCTAGTGGCTAGTGATCACGAGCATTTCCTCATGTGTCTGTTAGCTGCTTGAATGTCTTCTTTGGTGAAGTGTCTGTTCATTTCCTTTTCCTAAGTTTTAATTGGATTATTTGTCTTTTTGTTTTAGA